CGCATGTGGCCGTGGGAGGGGGGCTTGCTGTGTGCCCTGCGGGCGCCGTGCACGAGGGCACGTCCTTCCCGCCTGTTTAAATACACCCGTGAGCTGAGACTGACCCTTTCCCGTCAGCGTCTCTAACCCCAGCTCTGCTCTCCCGCCTCACCCACACGGGAGGTCTGGGGAGGGGCTGTTCCTGTGGCCGTGGCAGGTGCCTCTCCGTGCGGAGGGCGGGCTCGGGCCGTGGGACTTGGTTCTGTTTTGTGGCTGAAGGTACGTGGCAGCCCGTCATCTCTCAGTGACACATGAAGATGACGTTTCGGCAGGACACACGTCACACGGCTCCGCTGGGGCCGCCCGCCCGTCCTCCTGCCCCCCGCCCCCCGGGGCTGTCCTGGGGCTGATATAATAGATCGTCCCCTGTAACCTGAGAAACTGCTCCACAGGGTTCAGTGTCTGCAGAGGACACGGCAGACCTTTGTTTTTGATTATTTGTGCTTTTTTTTAAGGGGGCGATTCCAGTCAGATCTAAGGGAGAATCAAGGATTCCTACCTGTTTTATTTCCGAATTCACCCAGATGCTCCTTCCTGATCTTCCCACGGCAGCCAGAGGCTCTTGATCTTTCTCCCCCCGCCCCTCCCCCCAAAAAGGAAAGAAATGTAAGGTTTCACTTGGGCACGATGAACAGAAATCGCCAAATTCCCTTTGTCTGCCCAGAGACCCCAATTCTCAGCCTGGCCACTGGGGGAGCAGGTGCCGGCGGCGCCCAGATGCCCACAGACCAAGGGGATTGTGGGCCGAGAGCCGACACTGCGTTGGTTGGTTCAGTGGCTCCTCCAGTTTATATTCTAACTAGAGGCCCAGTGCACGAATTTGTGCACGGGTGGGGGTCCCTTGTGGGGCGGGACCACGGGAGGTTGGCCAGCCCAGGAGGTTGGCTGCAGGAGCGCACTGACCACCAGGGGGCAGCTCCTGCATTGAGTGTCTGCCCCCTGGTGGTCTGTGCATGTCAGAGCCACTGGTCGACCGGTCGTTCGGTCATTCTGTCGCTTAGGCTTTTATATATATAGATTCCTTTCTTTCCGGAGCTAGAAATTAAGGGTTGTTTTTTTGTTTTTTGTTTTTCCAAATGGGATATCAGATATATTTATAGAAGACAGGAGATATTTTTCATATTAAGCGACATTCACCTAACTCAAAGCACAGTTCATCACCAGATTGCTTAAGAATAAAACTCATTCTGCACATTTTTTCATTTTTTTCTAAATGATGTAAACAGTATCGTGCACCGACCTACAGGTATCTGAGAGCGAAAGTCCCCCAAATCCAACCAGTCCATGTCCATGGTTCATGTCAGTCAGCACGCACATTCCTCTTACTAAGGTTGATGACGGAGACCACAAAGTAAAGTCTAACCGAGTAATTCTCTTCATCTCAGTAAACTGCTTAGGGGGGTCCTGGGCCAGAGAAAATGATGATAAATCAGGAAATTTTTCAGAATGTTTTGATTTTTCAATTTTTATTCACTGGCTACTTCAGAATTACAGACACAATGTTTAATATATGCAA